GCTACAATGGTGGTTATTTACTTTTCAAGCAACTACAGTCACATCACACATGAGCTGCAGGGGGGCAGCCCAGGCCCAGAGAACAAAGGTAGGATGGGACCTAGAGGTCTGCAGTCTTAGGAGCTGCTGCTATGGCTAAGGCCTGGCCAAGTGTATGGAAAAATTAATGAAACCTGTCAGAAACTGGGGTGACATAGATAAATTTATTGGGATTTATTCTGATTTTGGATGCTCATAATTCAAGGGTTATCTATAGCAGCCATATCACAAGAGATTTCAATTAAGGATGTTTTATTTCAACAAACTAATCTTGGCATAGAGAAAAGGAGGGCTAAAAGATGTATGTATGTATGTAGTGACCACACAAATGCCTGTATGAAGGGTGATTATGAATGTGTGACTCCTAACAAAAGTACTATTTGAATTGCTTGGGATATGGTAAAAAGAGACACCAGGTCAGTGTCTTAATTGAAATGGTTGGTGATCTGCACCTCCCATGGCGCCTCACCCCACGGCGCCCCGCCATCCCCCCCACCAAAATGGTCAAAGTCAACATGGACTGAGAGCCACAAGAGCTTCTATGAATGGTTCAATAGAGTTTAACAGAGGAGAAAAAACAGAAATTCTCTTATTTTTGTGGTTAAAAAAAGAAATTGAGAAAATGGAAGTTAAGGTAAGATTCGAAAAAAGGCTATTGAGAAAAAGCTTCAGGGAACTGCATCCCTGTTAGGCCCCACCTAGAAAGTAGTCAATGAAAATGCAAATGAGACCATGTCAGCTAAGGAAGGCTTTACAGGTCAGATTAGAGAAAGTATTATCAAAAGTATTTGGGACACATGTTACATCCTAAAGAAATTAGGCCTCAAAAATTAGTGATTTAAAAAAAGATAGCTTGTGATCATTAAATGATTTTCAGAAGTTATTGGGAATTATTCAATGGTTATGTCCTTTTTAAGAAGCATCTACTGGCAATTTAAAACCTCTAAGGGTTATCCTTAAAGGAGACAGCGATCCCAATTCACCTAGACATCTAACTAAAGAGGGTAGACAAGTTCTCCTACGATTAGAGAATACAATCCAGCATTAGCAGATATGCTATATTGAGTATGCAAAACCACGGGAGGCGGGCGTATGTGCTTCCCACACAACATAGAACGACTTCTGCCTTATGGTAAGGGGACCATTGTTATGCTTGCATTTACCTGTTTCCTAAGTGAAAGTGATAAATCTTTATTTTAAAGCAGGAGGTTGTATAGTGCAAAATGCTGTATGGAATCTAAGACATATTTTGCCAAGGAAACAAGCATAAAACGTATTTCTTTTACCAAACTGAAAGTTGAATGGTTATTTCAAAACCCTTATAACTACCTATTAGCAAGCAAAGGAATGTTTAATTAGGTGGTGGGGGGTTACCTCCCCTTATCTGAGAGTAGGTTCAGGTGGCAGCCAGGAGTTAATTTTCTTTTACCATTAGAAGTTCCCTTTCTCTGTGTAGATTTAGGGCCCAAGTTTTTAAACTTTTAGTAATTATAATTTTTGGTCCATCAGCTTTTGCTCAGTATTTGAGAAAAATGATAATCAGTTTCCAATTCATAGACTGTTACAATCTGTGTTAATACATCCTTTTGTATTCCACAAAATTGTAGAGTAATCCTGTAAAAAGTGCTATATTAGTTTTTACTGGAAAACCAGTTTTGTTATTGATGGAAAAGAATATGTAGTGCAGACAGATCCAGCTTCACCTCAGATAGTTTAGTTATAAGCAACAGCAACTAAAATCTGTAACTAAAACACCTAAAAAAAAAAGAAAAGAAAAAAGAAAAAAAAAAGAAAACCAAAATTTGACAATTCAAAGGAAATCGACCATTTTCTGGATAACTATCACTTACCAAAATTAAACCAAGAGCAGATAAGCAATGTAAACAGACCTAAAGCCCCTATGAAAAAGAGGCAGTCACCAAAAGCCTCCCAAACAAAAATGCCCAGGGCCAGATGGCTTCAGTGCAGAATTCTACCATAAATTTCAGGAAGAACTAATACAAATGCCAATAATGCTCAAATTGTTCCACACAATAGAAGCAGAAGTTTCATTACTAAACTCTTTTTATGAGGCCACTAATACATCAAATAAGCCTATTAAAAATGGGGTACAGAACTGAATAGAGAATTCTCAATAGAGGAAATCAAAAAGGCTGAAAGACACTTAAAAAGTGCTCAACATCTGTAGCTATCAGGGAAACACAAATCAAAACAACTCTGAGATACCATCTTACTCCTGCCAAAATGGCTAAAATTAGAAACACCAATGACAACTTATGTATGCTGGAGAGGATATGGGTGAAGGGGAACACTCACTGCTTGTGAGAGTGCGAAATTGTGCAGCCATTTTGTAGGACAGCATGGTGGTTCCCCAGGAAAATAGGAATCAATCTACCATAGGACTTGGCAATCCCACTCTTAGGCATATATCCAAATGATCCACATCCATGCAACAAAGACATGTGTTCAATTATGTGTGTAGCAGCAAGAACCTGGAAGCTACCTATGTATGTTTTCTTCATTATATATGATAAATATAAGCAGAATGTGTGTAATTTTTTATTTCCCTTTGCTTTTCTATTTGCATCAAAATCCTTTCATTCACAATTACTATGTGGACTTTGAAATAGTTCATCTTTTCTCATTTATTGTTGATAATGAAACTGAGTACTCTAAGATCTCAATTTAAGTCTAGGCCAAACTATGTTGACTCCTCATAGGAGACCTTAACTATGAGGAGGATCAAACTGGGGGCGGGGCGGGGGGTGGGAGTAAGAAGTATAGGAGGGAGGAATGTGATTTGAATGTATAATAAAATTTTAAAAATGTCAAAAATGCTAGACTTCATCAGAAAGTCAGCCTCATTTTCTGATATGGTTTCTACCTTGCTCACTGATTTTTACTCATCCCATCCTCTTTTATTCTAGAAGTCTACACGCAAATCTTTACAATATTGTTCTCCTGAGTAGGCCTTTCTTCTAGTCTTCCTGTTTTCTTTAGTTTATTTTCAACATCTCAGTTTAGCAGCACTTATTTTGCTAAATTCCTTTGATGCTTCCAACCTTGCCTAAATGTCAAAATGTTTCTTCCTAAGATACCTGTTTCTGAATAATCTGATATTTTTGTCCTATAATTATGATTCCATCCTACAAATCAGTATTCTAGTATTAGATTATAAGCTCTGGGAAGCCTTGGGTCATTAATTAGTTTACATTACTTCTGCTATTAATGTGGCTGTCAACAGTTCTCTGTGACTCACATGGTCACTAAATATAAGAACAATTGCTATTAATCAACCCTTCAACCATATTTAATAACAAGGTATATTTTGTCCTCCCTGAATGCATTTGATTTACTGTGTAAGATGGCATTAATGCACAAATTTGTTCTGAGAGTGGCTGATTACCATTGTGTGTGGTATCCTTTGAGCATAGACTGCTCCTCACTCACAGAAGCAGTCTCAGGCAATAATAGATGCATGCTTGGTCACATGATGTAAGCAAACAGTTATATCAGGGTCATGCATAGACAATGGACAACAGTCAGGAATACAGTGTGACCAACTTGGAGAATACAGGGAATGTTGGCTTAGCAAGATGTGTTTCAAAGAGGCATGTGGAGTGCCCTTCTCTCATCTCTTCCTAATCAATGCTGCTGAGTAACAGGCTCAAATGATATCCCGCTGTCGGGCTGTTCAGTGTCATGTGTGTATGCTAATTGTCCCATATTTGCTAGGGGTGCTGTCTGTGTTCTATTCTCAGTAGAAGTATGAAATTTCAGGGCTAATGTATGGGCTGAAACAGCATTTTCATGGACACTGTGAAGTAGAACAGCTTTTAGAAATTGCTGGGATTTGTTCAAAGCTTCAACAGTAGCAAGAAGATTTTGAGGTTGTATTTATCATCTTGGCCGTCATTGTTCCAGTTCTATCTCCTAAATCTATTCTGCCAAGTTCTAAATTTGAGGAACTCACACACCTTGTGGTGAAGATATCAAGTTTATTTGTTTATAGGAAAATGCAAGCAAGTGATATCTTAAAAGAAATAATGGTGCTCAACCAGTTCAGACTTCAGAGCTAATTCTAAGAACTTTCTTTACACACTGGCTACTGATGGTTTCTGGGAAAGGAGCAATTAACTGCTGGCAATTGTGTTTCTACTATGGTATCTACCAGGCTCCAGTGGACAGTCCCTTCCTATTGTTACATGATGATCCTGGTGAAACTAGGTGGATCTAAAAAAACAAAAGACACATGGGTATATAAAAGGGAATTTTATGGAGGAGAGTAATTGTAGGGATAGAAAAAAACAAAGAGAGTATAAGGTTATAGTAATCAAAATACACTTTCCAAGAATAAATTTATTAAAGACAATATATGTTCCTCATGTTGTGTTCTGAGCACCAGGTCAAATAAAGGAAAACCCAACAGCAACAACAACAACAAACAGGATAGCCTTTCAGTTTTGTTTGAGATTTATTACATCATTTAGAGAAACATCACTTCTAATTAGCATGATTCCCAAAACAGATACAGAATAAATGGAACTCTTGGTTTCCTGTAGGAAAGAGAAATTACACAAATGTAAGTGTTCTGCTAAGGTATGTGCAGATTATATCACCTATAATACTGGCATGTATGCTCACTACGCAGAGAGCCCAAGGATGTTTAAGTGCTACAGAGATGTTTAAGTACTCTGCCCTACAGAAGTGAAATATAGACATATAGACCATGGGCCTTTCACAACCCACCCTGAGAAAGTACCATCCAAATCTGAGAACATTAAGAAAGCACCCTTTGTAGAGAACTGAAAACAAAGCACCCTTCTGTGTTTCTGTACTCTCCCCAATAATTATCTTAGACCTAGAAACCTGGGCCAGGATAAGTTTTATTACTCTAGTGGTCTTTATCCAAACCCCATGGTAGACACACACGTGCATGCAGTCACTCACTCACACACACACACACACACACACACACACACACACAAAGACCTAGGTACAACATACTTGTTTTAATGTCCTGGGAATAGGTAGAAACGTTTTGTCAAAGTCACCCTTTCAGTGGTGGGCATCTGTAAACTAAATTTTGGTTGTTCAAATGAAAATCGTACCTAGAAGAGATTTATAGTCAATATTTTAAGAGAGCAGAATCTTGACTTGAAATGAAAAAAGAAACTGCACTGGTTAGCATGACAATAAACAACTCATGGCATTTGTAAGAACCGCAGCTGTGAGAATATCTTCAAGACTATTAAGCTGTCTTGCTAGAATTAACAAATATGGACACATTGATATTACATTCTTCTCCATTTTCTACTAAAGACAGGGTAGGGGTTAATATAAATGATTATTTCTTAAGACTTTTGATCATAAAACATTGGCACCATTTAGGGATAGTTGACCAACTTAAAAATAATAATAATACAAAACTCTTTTTAAAGGATGACATTATTAAAAGACCAACATGTTCTGAGCTATCCCTGTAGAGACAGATTAAATAGCAAAGACCAGGGAAGCAGAATTGATACAGCATTAGTCCTACCTTTCTGAAAATGTCCTCCAAGTCACAAGACCAGGCATGTTCTTTCATTTGCTTGATGAGTTCCACAATGAAAAGAGAGCCCTTGATAGGATGTCTCCAAGAGATGTTGTCTATAAATAACATATATTTCAAATCTTATGACAGACCTTACCCTGGATACAGGCCACTGTAGCCTTTCCACTATTGCTGGACACATTAAAGAGTCCATACTGTATCATAAAAACTGCCTGCCTGCCATTTTTCAATGGATAATTATATAAAATTCAATGAATACCTCTTCCCTGTATGCAATGCAGATTTTTCAGATGAAGTAGTTCCTTATGTCAAAGAGGTGAAAAATCTAGTAGAAAGGCAGTCCCTAGGGTAAGAGAGTGATTAGGCTTGGGAGAAGGAGTATCTGAGTGTGTGTCTCCAGGGTGCCATGTAATGACACTGGTTTAAGTCTGTTGTACATTTTGAAATGCAAGGATTTTAATTACAAGTTGAGAGAAATTATTTCTGGTAAAGAAAGAGATATTTGAAGAATACATAATAGCTACAAAAATCTGAGCTGGGTAAAGGAAATGAGGAGTAGAAGCAAGTATGTCTATAAGAATGTGAATGTCTTTAAGTAGAGAATAAAAGGCCTGATTCTCATAAAAGTACTAGTAAGGCCAGATTCTTTTTAAAAAATCTTACTGTGTGTTTGGGATTTACACAGGCAAATTGCAACTTGGTTTGGTAGTGGGTGTGGAAGATACATGAAGTTTGAACTATTTACAAAGAATAGTGAAGACAGCAAACGAAAGAGATACACAAACCAACAGGGTGGATGTCAAGAATGGAAGATCTGAGGAAGACTCTAACCTGTAGAGTGATATTCACTTTGTCTCCTTCTGTGCCACTGAGCACGCCCATTGGGGGGTGGAGCCAGGGGCAGAAGTGACCTATGGAAGGAGGTCTGAGGAGGAGCCGGGGAACACTCTCTTGTTGGCCGGACATAGAGAGGAAAGCATCTGGTGAAACTTGCTGGTGTTCATCTGTCTAGGCTGTGAATTATTTCTCCCTAAATAAACAACTATTCAGCCTATTTGTTTATCCTGATCCTTATTAAACTGAAATACTAACCAGACAGGGATTTTTGGTCAAGATATTAGGAAATGATATAAAAGAACATTTGAATCTAGTAATATAGTTTGTGGCATTCTTAAGATGAAAATGTGTTGGTGTTTTACTATTGTGTTTTAAAGTTAAACACATTGTTGTTCATTGACTATTTCTTCGACACATAAAATGCATCTGATTATGTTTATTCCTTACCATCTCATTAAGTCCCTCCTACTCATAAACCAATACATCCCCTCATATGCTGCTTTCCTCTGTGCATGCTATTTTGTAATTTTTATGACTCATTGAGTGTAATCAGGGCTGTCTGCATGACCAATGGTATGAAACTATGTGACAGAGCCTCACTGCAAACTACTTGATATGTTTCTGAAGATGATTCTCTATCTACCAGAATATATTAGTAGCCAATAATTCTACAAATCTCTATGACCCTAGATTGTATCAATAACTACGATAATTTATCATTGGAAAATAATATAGTGATATATACATTAAGGTATGGTCTACCCAGTGTAGAAGTATATTATATCTGGAGGTTGTGACCATAGTCAGTAACATAATCTGTAAGGTATTTGATCAGAGGCAAAGACGTAAAGATGCATTTGAGTAAAAGAATGTAGGCCTCAGGAAATGCAAAATTCAGGAAATGAAAGACTCAAATGAGTTTCATTTAAACCTTAACATAGTAAGTAGCTTTAGTGAGATTACTAATTAAAACTTTGATAATAAGAATAACTTAGTGTTAGATATTTTAGGAATTGTCCAATATTTCACACATCATATTCAGCCATTGCCACCTTGGCAGTATATTTACGAATATTTATGAGAAAGTCAAAGAAATCTCAGTAAGATGAAACAGCTAGACTTAATATAAGATGTAATAAATGGAAGTGTCAAGATGTGAGCTGACTATTACTGTTTAGCATATATTTGAATTATTTATGAATATATGTTTTGATGTATAAAACCCTCTCACATTAAAGCCACTTAATATCTAATATGTAGCATAGGTTATCTGGTGTGTGTGTTTTCAGGAGATTGTTATGTGCCTTCCTTCCCAACTACTCATAGCAACTTTGGGATTGTAGGTGCTTCTTTCTAACAGTAACCATTACGAAGATCATCTATACAAAAAATCCTTTACCTGGTGTTGAAGAACAGAAAGCAATAAAATCCTTCTCTATGTGGGCTTTCTTAATGCCATCATCTTCCAAATCTGCATCCACTAAGAATTTCTTTCCAGTACCTTCTGCTGAATCTTTCACCAACACCACTCCTCGGTTCTCTAGGAAGGCAAAAAATTGCTTTCATTTCTAACAATTTCCAAGGGAATTATTGTTTCTTTGAAACTTTCATTAAATTCTACATCTAAATGTATTAGTTTTTTAGTTATATATACAAATATGAATGTGAATACATATATGTATACATGTACATATGTACATATATATGTATATGTATGTATGTATGTGTATGTAAAGTTTGATATAGGCCATGAGTCAATTATTTTTTAATTGGAATCCAATAACATCCAAATGTTATATATATGTATGTATATACATACATATATATGTATATATGCATTGATTCTTGATCGTGATATTTTCTAGTTGAAAAATCTGAAATAACAATCCACAGAGTGCCTAATTATCTGATTAGTAAAACAGATGTTTGATATTTAGGTGTCAACCCCCAAACACTAGAAAGTATTATCTGTATGTAAATGATAAAGTCAGGCTGTGAATCCACCAGCACTTACCTCCACGGCAGGCCTGAATGATGATAACTTTGGGCTTGTCTGTCAAGTTTGGGCACATCAAAGTGTTCAACATCCGAAAGATAGTATCAACTTTTAAAACATCTGCTACTTTATCAGAATATGACTTCCCACATATTCCTTCTTGGATACCATGAGACATGAACACAAGAAAAGTACTGTCAGAAGTCTTGTGCTCTGGGCAGTCAGCAAACTCCTTCACTGTGTTAGTCATCTCCTGGAAGAGAGCAGACCAGTGATGTTAGATGAACTGTCATTTCACTAGAAACAGTAAAGGGTGTCCTTGAATAATTACATGAAAATGAGTAACATGGAAGAGAAAAATTCTAACTTTCAATTTTATGAAAATCAAGGCTATAAAGACTAAAGAAAGTCATGCTGAGATCATTTAGGTGGTAGAAATATTTTCCAATTAGATGTTAGAGGAGACTTTGGTAAAGCATTGCAACATATGGCAGGCATATGTAATATTCAGTGGCTCCTCACCGAAGGATGTCATCATTACAAACTAGCATGAGTTTAAGATTTCTCCAACATGTTTTCTGGCATTATCTATTGTATGAGAGACATACACATAATTTACGTATTTTGAGAAATCTTACCAGAGCTGTGAGATTTTCTTTTTCTTTCACGGTATATCCCAGACCCTGCAGTAGTGACTTCATTTCTCTGAGATCCACATCAGCTCCATCCCTCCTTGGAAGATATTCAAACTCTGTGTTGCAGATAATGAGAGCAAGACGTGTACGAGTGGATGTATTCATTATTGGGTAAATCTGTATGAAGGGCAGATTCAGTGAACAGCCTTGTTTAGTTTAATGTTTACTTTATGTGTTTATGATCATTCTTAATTCCCTCCTTCTATTCCTTTCAAGAAACCAACCTTGTGAAGATTAGATTAAGTATAGGAAGGGCACTGAATCTTAATTCAAGAGCACTTTGGAATTTTTGAATATTCAGGTGATTTCTGAGCATCTACCCTTAACTTTGAAGAGATAATTTTGAAAAAGAAAGCTAGAGATCCCTAAATTGTAAAGCCAATTCCACTGAGTTCTATTGACTCTAGACATAATATTTACCCATACCTGACTCAGTTTCTTAATCTCTAAAATGGGCCATTTTGAAGGTTAACTGCTTTGTTTTATATAAAAGTATATGGAGTAGTATTAGGTTCACAGTAAGCATCTAAGGTTAGCCATTGATTTCCTGTTGCTACTATTGTATACCAAGGAATTGGCGTAAACTCAAAGTAAACTTGAGATTCTAGGAGGTAGGGATCTTTGACGTAAGGCAAAGTGTGTTATCGAGTCTCTGGGGACATAGCAATGACTGTGTCTGTGACAAACAACCACTGCTCTTCAGCTTGCTCCATCCCAGTTCTGTGCACAGCACCTCAGAAGGATTTTCTTGCCGTATCTTTTGGGCTGTTTCTAAGGGGCATAACTTGAGGCTCCCACTTGGTCCTGGACATGTGACACCATCTTTGTTCTGTTTTTCTTCTGTTTCTGTAAGCGACAAAAATACCACAGTTGTATTGAAGCCTGTTGGTCTCACATCAAGTCCCTTCCAGCCTTATTATTGTGTGAAGACAAGTGTCACTACCACAAAGCAGAATGAGATACACACCACTACTAATGAGCATATTGCAAACCAGAGATTCCCAGTGTGTGATCTGAGATCTATTATGGAATTTGTATTTTGATAAATATTTTAGATAACACAAGTATTAAAATGTTTAGCATTTATTTTGGAAAGTATTTGAAGCCTAGGATGAGATTTTAGGTGGGGGTGTTAGGAAATATATCTCATTCAATCACATTGAAAAATTTAAAAAATATGTGTTTACATATTTTTTTAACATATGCACAATAGTGGGCATCACATTGAGTAACTTTTAGAAATGATCTCTGTCCATTCACTCAGGATCACTTTCTATTGTATTTGTATATTAACCAATGAAGGAACAACATTGAATGTATTTACTAGAATGAAAGTCAGATAAAGTGTAAGTGCTAACATTAATTTGCAAATTTTGTAAATGCATGTCACTTTTTATTGATGGCACAAATCTATGAGGGGTATTTTAAAAAACAGTTTCTTTGAGCTTCTGGGGGTCCTATTGAATCACAAGTTCAATATATCTAATCATATGATGTACTTCTAAATAATTTGATGCAAACTTGGTATATTTTCAAAACATGCCTGGAGAGTGGAAATTAAACAATTGAAATTTTGAGATTCCAATTAATTTTAAAAGGTGTTTTTGTAAATTGGTTTTGAGAGTTTGACCAAAACATCAAAATGTGTTGGTTGTAGAAAAGAATACAAACTAGCTAGAGTTAATATACTGTAAAAATATGGAAACTACTCGTTTATTGGAAAAAGACGTCTTGCTTCTGCACATATTATTCTAAAGTAACTACATATTAAACAAATATTTATTATATTAGAGATAATTTTAGTGTAATTAAATAAAGTATTCAATTATATAGGAATGTCATATCACATGAAATATATAACATTTGGACTAATCATCATTAATAGATTTAGGAGAATGAGTATTTTTTTAACACTTGCCTTTTTGATTTCAGGGAAAGCATTGTCTTCTGGATGAAAGTATTTCAGAACTATGGTGGAAAACCTCTCTTGCAACCTGCAGTGCTAGTCATTTCTAACATTACTAACAATGGATCTGGTGAAGGCACCCTTTTATCAAAGACCACTTAAATATTAATGTGGTATTTGGGATGTAAATATTTCTTCTAAAATGTGTAAATTAAGGTTATTTTGGCCTTTTTCCCAGTAAAGGTTGGTTGTACACTCTCAAACCTGTACTCAGTCTGTGAGATTCTCCCACCCTCCCAAAGTCTTCATTGTTATGCCCAGTCCAGAACACATTCTATCTGAGTGATCTGTGGGAGCCAGTAGAAGACATGCATGTAATTGTTGTGGCACATCTAATGAGCTTACAAACTCTTAGAAGATCTTCTCATAGTCTTCCCAATGTCTCTCACAGAATGGCTGTAAGCACAGTTCTACTGGTGCCGTCTCTTATAGGTGTATGAGACACAGTGTGGGCTATCTCAAGCTTAGGAGAGAGCTCCTTGTTTATTGAGAATAACTTGTATAATGTTCATGAATAAGAAACAACTTTCTATCATGCAAGAACCACTGTGAACGTTAACTTGTTTACTGACATCCATGTTGTCTTAATAAAGGTTTGTATTATCATTGCTATGTCTAAATTGCTGGCAGCTTTAGTTTGTGTAAAAAATAGTGTTAAATAAATTTTCATATAATATTTATCCATTCAAGTTCAATTCAATCACAAATATAATTTTTCATGATTATTAGTTTTGAAGATTTTATAGAACAATGTCTACCGTACAATTGGCATGTTTAACTATTTCTCAATGACCAAGAAAAGTATAGGTGCACAAATAACCATGTAGTGAGTAATGGGCATCTACTATACGCTATAAGTAACAGGTGTCTGATAAGTTGGTAAAGGACTTGAGAGGGGAACCCATTAAAACTTAGCTACACACTGAAAGTAGGTAGGAGAGGAAAAGAAAAGCTAAGGATACATTTTGAGTTTCACATTTGAACAACTGCTAATGATATCAGCATTAGCTAAGGAGAAGAAAACTGAAAAGAAGAATGGGAAGACTGACAAGTTTACCTTTGGGGATGTTTGGAAGTACATTTCCAAAGGAGACAGGAATATGTGCACTAGGCACTCGAATGGTAATATCTGGTACCCAATTAGGTAGTTAAGACTTGAGGTACAAACTCAGAAAGTTGTAGTATGAATATAGTTGGTGAAGCCATGAGAACTGCTGTTGCTTAAGCAAGACATGTAGATGAGAAAAATCAAAGAATCAGTGCCTGGGAGTTACTGATAGCTCCTCAAGCTGATTTTCCCTATGAAGCTGACAGACAACGAAAAAAGATGAGTATCTAAAGAGTGTTCTTGATTTGCAAGCATGTGTACCTGAGGAATGTTCTCCCTGGAAATTGTCTCTCCTAATGAAATTTTCTGCTGGTGGACCTGAAGAGAGACAAAGGAAATTAATTCACCATTAGAAGATAATCCTTGGTTATACAGCAAGTTTGAAGGTACTGTGAACTACATGAGACCAGGGAGAAGGAATAGGAGCAACAGAGACAAGAGATATGCAAATAGAGTCATTGATTCCGGAGTCTGAGATGAGGGAGTTCAAATCACATGAAATATATGTGAAGCAGACACTAGTTATTAAAAGGTTTTGACTCTCAGCATAGTCTGGGATACAAGTTCTTACCCGATTCAAGTTCCAGAACTCCTGCCAGGTAGCCATCTTCATTACAAATGTACCTGATACAGATTTGGCTTGCTAGAGGGCCCTTTTTAGTGACACAATCACACAGGTCCCGTGCCTTGTCCATGACAGTGGCATTTATACATTTTATTCTCTCCATTTCTTCCTGGTTCAGCACTTTCTTCTCCAAAAGTTCATCCAGCAAGCCATTTATTGTCCCTTCGCCCACTGAACGGATGAACTGCTTCCTCTTTGCCCTGAGGATGTTGTCTGTTTAAGACACAAAGATTTCTCAAGCCCAGAAAAATAGTCACATGCACCTTTCATGTTGTAAAAAGGACTGTGGCTTATTTCAGACTGAATCAATAAAAGGACTCTGTCACATACATCACTGTTTGCTATCTGTGCTGTCTGTCTCCCTTCAGTGATGCACAAGTGCAGAGAAAGGCAGGAGCATCAAGTTACTGTCTTCCTGTTAGAACCAAAGAACCATAAACACTCATTCAGGTTTCACTTGTTCTCAACTTTATTAATAAAACAAAGAAATAACAATAAACCATGTTCCTTTGCAGACTCCATATCTGTCACTCATCTGGTTCACTCTGTCAGACTAGGGTCATGTAATAGTAAAGACTGCAAAACGACAGCCGTATACGAGTAAAGCACCATTTCCTTTCTGGCCCTGTCCTTTGCTTTCTATGACTTTTAAGAATCAAATGTACACACTTTTTCCCCATAGCCTTCCCTTTTCCCAGATTCAGCTCTCTTAAATACCTGCACAAGCTGATGACAGCTTCCAGAAAAGCCCCTTCCCAAATTACTTATTTACCAAATTAGTTTTTTTAGCAATGGGGAAAACTCACCAGCCATGGCTCTCCTCTCCTACCATCGGAAGCTACTGAAACTGAAAGTTACTTTCCACCAAGGCGTGTATGCCGATTGAGAAATAGCCACTATTCATGTGTGCACATGATTATTGCCCTAATTAAACCTACACTTCTACAGCTCAGGCTTGCCAAGGAGTAAACCTTGGAAATGATCTTTCCACAACACCTGGAATACTTCCTGGTATGAAGGCAGCATGTCTTAGTATGAAAAAAAAAAAAAAAAAAAAAAAAAAAAAAAAAAAAAAGAAAGAAAAAAAGATGAGCTCATGAGCTTGGGCAAAGCAACAAGTGGGGGCAGGAAAATTATAAAGGGAAGAATTCTAGGATTCAGAGGACATGGGAACAGAGGTACAGGGGTGCAGGGACAGTTGCCACAGATGTTCCTGCTCCAGAGCTGGGGATGTGACTGGGGGATTAGAGCCAGTTTAACAGAGGGAGAAGAGATCTGCAGCCAGTTTACATGGTTTTCTGACCTGTGAGACCTGTGGGTTTGGAGGGGTGCCTGCTGGAGGTGGGGGCAGCGATAAAGCCAGGAGTGGTGGAAGGGAGCTCAGAAGGGGATGGTTTGTGGGACCCAAAGGAAATGTAGGCTGGGAGGTCATACAGGGAAAGGAAGCTTCAGCTGGGGTTCTCTTGCACAGACATGGATGAGCCTGTGGGATTGGATTTCGATGGGAGGAGGGGATGGTGACAGTCTTCATTTGGCCTTCCCCTGGTTTACTAGGCTGGAGTGTTCACAAGAAATGTCTGTTGGTGTTTCGTGCTGAAATGGTGGAATGAGTCTTATGAAGGAAGGTCGGGGGAGAAGATATTTGTGATGTATTGAGGATGGGGACAGATGAAAAGGAAAAGGCAGCTGGTTTTCTAGTATATGGCTGGGAATGAGACTGGACTTACATCCAGAAGAAGAAGAAAAGAAGAAGGAGGAGGAGGAGGAGGAGGAGGAGAAGAGAGGGGTGGATCCTCAGTCTGACTACTCAGTTCCCTGTCAGGAGCAGCCCTTGTATTCATAGGGGATATCTGTTGAGGCTGAGGACTGGGACAACGGAGAATGAGTAGGGTCTATAAGGACACATTAAGCTGAGCTGCCTATTCCATCATAAAATCTACAGCTCTCATTTTAAAAGTATAAGAGATGGTTTACCCTGGAGGCAATTAGCCCCTGGCCCTGGAGCACAGATTTAGTTACCCCAAGTCCCAGTTCAAACACAGAAGCAGTTTCAGGAAGTTTCTCCTATCTTAGGGAACCACCACAATCACAACTTCAGTCACCTTTGAAACACAGTTAAGTTCAGCATCTACAGTGAGATGGGGAAAGCTTTGATTTAGTCCTAAAATGCTATGTGAGAACAGTCTACATTTCTGATGGTAAAATCTCAAGTTCTCCCAAGGCAATAGTTTCTAAGTGGTTTTTATTTATTATCACTAAGTGTTTGTTCAGATACAGAGTGGGGCCAGAATGGCTATTACAGAAGGATAAAATTATCCCATTATAAGTAACTAGCTTCTAACCCTACAAAATTCCAATATTTCCACAGTACAGAAATTCCAATTGATCCATCCATCAGTCTCTGAAGACACAAACATTTCCTCCAGGAGTTTTTTGTTCACATCCAGACATAGCTTTCCTTTTGGGTATTTTCTTTCATACTTGAATTAGATGACTTAGTTCTTTTCTTCTTATGTTTTGCTTCCTGTAACTCACATATTCAACAGATATGGGATTTTTTTTTTAATCTTAAGCGAAAAGAATGATATTTAACTATGCTGTACCCATATGACTGAAGCTTCAACTGTGAAATACAGATTTCCCAGGCAAATTAGAAGACACAGTGCAATGCGGAACAGAGAGATCTAGAAAACGAACTTCATTGAGGACTTTTGTCATGGAAATGCATTCCAGTATAGAAGCTATCCATGCAGAATCTTGTGGTAACTGAAAGGTTGGTTGTTTGATTGTGGTACACACATGAAGAAAGAACAAAACTGTGCCACAGTTTAAATTTCTTTCTTCCTTCCCTTTTTCTTTCTTTCATTCTTTCTTCCTTTCTTTCCTGATTTTTCAAGACATGGTTTCTCTATGTAGCTTTATATACCAGGCTGGCTTCAAACTCATGTAGATCGGCCTGCCTCTGTTCCCTGAGTGCTGGGATTAAAGGTAGTGTGTACCACCACTGCCCAGCTCACAGGCCCACAGTGTGAATTTTGAGTTGAGGTATTATCCTAGCTAGTTTTATATCAACTTGACCCAAGCTAGGCTGAAGGCAAGCCCATGGGTATTTTCTTAGTCATAAAGATGGGATTGCTCAGTCTATTGTGAGTGGAGCCATCCTTGGGCTGGTGGTCCTGTGATCAATAAAAATGCAGTCTGAGCAGGCCATAAGGAGAGAGCCAGTAAGCAGCATTCTTCCATTGCCTCGTCCTCAGCTCTTGCATCCGGATTTCTGTCTTGTTTGAATTCTTTTCCTGCATTTTTATTCCTGCTGCTGTGACAAGACAAATTGCCAAAATTCATTTATGTGGGAAAGGATTTTATTTAGCATACATTTCAGTTCATTATTGAAGAAGTGTCAAGAACTGAGAATAAATACACAGATACTTTCTTGTTTGCTAGTTACCATGTACTGTTCTCTTATACAGTTTTTACACTGCCTATGGAACTGCATCTGGCTACATCAATGAACAAATTCGACAATCCACTTTAGCTAACTGGATACTAGATAATATTCTGTTGGAACTTTTTTCCAAACTGATCTAGATAAGGGCAAATTTAGAGTCAAGATGAACCAGGCAATAAGATAAGACAAAAACACACACTGGATAAATAAAAAAGAAGGAAGAAACAAAGAAAGGAAGAAAGAGACATTTAATTTTCCTGGATGCTTAGTTCTTACCCTAGGAGACTCCCAGAATTCCTGCCAGGTAAATGTCTTCTTTACAAATGTAGTTGATAAAGATTTGACATGCCTTGGGACCTTTCCGAATGACAAGATCACACAGATCTCGTGCCTTTTCCATAAGAGTATCTTTTGCAAGTTTTATTTTCTCCATTTCTTCCTGATTCGTTACTTTATTCTCCAAAATTTCATCCAGCCATCCATTTATTGTTCCTTCTCCCCCTGAACAAATAAATTGCTTCCTCTTTGCTCTTATGGTGTTGTCTGTGGAAAGCAAAAAGAGTTCTCAAGTCAGAACAATCTGAGTTTCTCCTCTCATCATGAACAGCTTGCTTTCAGACTGAATCAGCAAAATTTCATTTCCCCTTAATATTATTCATATAATCACACAGGGAAAGGGACAGGATCTTTATTAGGACCTAAGAGGAAACCATCCTTTTCTGTCCCACTTATATTCAGATTAATAAAATTTGAAATGAGGTTAACTCATGTTCTTTGAAGGCACTGTCTGCATTACTTATTCCATTCTCTCTTGTAGACTAAGGGCATTTAAGACTTAAGATCACAAAATGACAGAGGGATGCCAGTAAAATACAGTTCACTTCTGGTCCTGCCTTTACTTCTTTATGGTTTACAGAGTGCATAGTTTCTTCCTGCTATTCTCCATTTTCCTAGATTTAACTAATATACATATTTACAGAATCCAGCGATAGTTTTCAGAAACCTCAGTCCCTTTCCAAACTATTTATTCACTACATCAGTTCCCTTATCAATAGGGGAAATTCACCAGCCATGGCTTTTCTCTCCCATGATCCAATGGAACTGAAATTATAAACAGGTTCCAGACTTCTTTATACCTAGGTGTGTACGCAGATTGAGAAATAAGTATTGCCCATGTATATGTATTATTTTATGCCCATAATGAAACTCATTCTTCTGGAGTAAGTTACCCAAGAAGTCAATCACAGAAATGACTCCTCTTCAACACTTTAAATAGCTTATTGTAGGAGAGGGTTGGATCTGATGGGAAAAGAAAGGAAAGACAAGGTGATTGTTTTGTGTGAAACTTGTAGAATAATGAATTATTTTTTAAAAAAAGTGTGACCCATGTGCTGGTAAGTTTTTACTGTCAGCAAAACTTAGAATCACCTGGGAAAGGCTTAATGTAGAAGGATACATGTTAAATTAGACTGGGCAGGTCTTTGATTGTTAAAGAATGAAAGAAGACCTAGTTTAGTGTCGGTAGCATCATTCCTGAATCAGAAGTTCCTGAATGGTAAAAGAGTAGAGAAAGCTAGCTGAGGTGAACAAGCTATCATGTATGTGTTCTTTGTCCTTAGCTGTGGATATGATGTGACCAGCTCTTTCAAACCCCTGATGCTGTGACTTCTTCCCTACTCTGCTGGACTGTAACTTAGAATTATGAGGTGAAATGAACCCTTTCTTTTCAATATCACTTTTTGCCATTGACCAAGAAATGAAATTAAGACAATTCACAAAAGAAAAAGAAGGTAAATAATATTATATATTCAAGTTTAGCAATCAAACAAAATGGATATCCCCAGGTGTTTGGAATACACCCCGGAACTGTAAGGATCCTTAGCAGAAGCTGAACTGTAAGGATCCTAGGCAGAAGAACCAGCCCTTTTTGTACTGGAGAGTCTAAGTCTGAGTGCAAGAGTGGAACAGTGACAAGGCCAATATGTCACAGAGCACAGATTTCTACAATGACCCTATAAAGAATGGAACCAAGTAAATGTCCCTGCAAGTAAACCAAATAAGGGAGGGTAAGCTACAGTCCCCATGTTATTTTCACTAGTACCGAAATCCTGAGGCATTTCCTATAGGAGAAGCTTACAACTTCCACAGACCCTAAGAACATCTAGGAAAAATTTTCAATAATCCATAGCATAATGCTACAATGTGAAATTTTCACAGCTGTATCCTATGAAATATTCATGGTGCCTACACAAGCTCCTAGTGGTCACCATTTTGGGGGAATACCACCAACTCAGGATTTTTTGAAGGAGCTAGATATTCTCCACCAAAAACTTGTCCAAACTTGTTCCCTCAGTCATCAGGACTGACATGATCAGACTTGCAGTCACAGCCTAATTTACCTCTTGCATCCAACTGTGTCTATTACCTT